AGAAGCTTACTTTTTATTTTGAAAAAACTAAGCATTCTTTGGGACCTATGTATATTACAAAATAAGCTGAAATAAACCTTCTTGCATGTCATATATTCAAAAGTGATTACGCGAAGGTAATACGAACTGTTGTATTGAATATTAGTTTGTATTATGTACACTAAAGATAACTTTACGTTGGACTAGTAATATGGATATTAATAAGTAAATCAAGGAAAGAATGAAATGTTCAAAGTAGTATGATGTACATAGCTAAAAAGAAAAAAAACTGTGTGGCGGGTTTGGGAGGGTATCACTTGTATTCTAGACTACTAATCATAGTCCTCTTTCAGAACGATTTGTTTCTTAAAAGTAAACATGTTATTTGTTCAAAAATTAATATTCTTTCGTTTTTCAGCAATGTTGAAGGATGTTCCCCAAAGGCATACAATTCGCTAATAAACCTTGGAAGTGTGCAGTTGAACTGCTTCATCAGGTAACTTGTGTCTTAAGAGTAGTGTATTAAGAAATTACTAAGATACTTAATCACCACCCTACTATCATTTCTTTAAGTGGTAACTCCTTAATAGAAATAATATATGCATAGGTGTTCATGATATACGGAGTCTGATAAAGTTATGGGAAGATTTTGTGACGGATGTGAAACCTAGAATGGTACAACCGTTAACCGCGTACAAATTGATACGGGAATTTTTAGATGTAGGTTATATTTTCTACAAAGTAACTAACTTCTAGACAAATTTTGTCGAGGCAAACATTGACTTTTATACCTGTTTATCCTCCCTCTTATCAGCAAATTTATTTACACGATATAATGAATTGGACACGTGTACTCTGGGATTATTAATTTCGACTATCAAGGTTGGACTTTATACCGTTTTGTAATTAATAGATTATTTAAAGGAAAAGTGTGATCATGTTGTAGCGCGACGGCTTTTCCCGCATTTTTATGAACCTATCCTATCTTTGAAGTTAAATGTTTCAGAGGGTAAGTTACTTTGAGTATAATTGGAGATCTTTTTGTATATGCTTCCAAATATTTATTTCACTAAAACTGTTTGACTTGGAACGTCTTTTAATAGTCAGGCGGTTTCTCCTCCAAATCCACAATTCTCCCAAATTTCCACTGGTAATCCATGTTCCCTTCCTTCAGAAACCCACTAAAATTCCTCGTCCCCCTTAGATTCTACGTAAAATTCGTATTTCTCAAGGCTTTCTAAATTTACTGTTTGACGACTAGATTCGTTGCCCAGCTTGTGAAATTAAAGTAGGTAAAGTAGGATTTGTGTATTTTATTCAATATTTAACGTTTGAATACTTCGAAAGTAATTTTTCATGCTACGCTTCTCTCCCAACATTAAGATTAAGAACATTCTGTAGGAATCTAGTCCCTCATGTTCCTTCATTTTAATTAATACTGTGTTGCTTTTTGGCTGTGAATTTTAGCAATTTTATTTATTGGTGACTGGGATTTAGGATTAAACATGAGGCTGAAATTATATCGTGGCGAGAAGAGATCTTCACTGAGCTACCCTATTTCTAATGGTTTTGCGAATTACATATAGTTTCGCTGAATTATAGTTTGTAATTAGTATAGTGATTTTTGTCGTTTAATTTCTTATAGACGGCACATATTTGATTTCTCAAATGGAACTTATTAATCGACTTGAACAGTTAACTAACTATTGGGTAACATATTTATCTAGCGAATTTCCCTGTAATATGTCCAAATTCGATCCAGCCCACTTTTTATTCGATTGGATTAGATTGGCATATTGTTTAACTGTCAGTGGCATAGTTCATAAGAGGATGAATTACTTCAATGTTGGCGTGCAGTTTTTAGTTGTAATAAAATCAAAGAACGTGCAACAATATGACAGTTTTATAAAATATCTTGTAAGTTATCGATATTGTCTACGATTTATTTCCTATAAATGTTGTCTTGGTTATATCCCTATTTGCGTCGAAACCTTATAATAATATTGATGCTGCTTAGTTAATCATAGTCATGTACTACTACTCCACAACACTATGGATCTAAATGATATAGGAATAAACTGGTTGTTCTCCCCAAACCTTCTGGTAAATAGGAAAGTAGGAAGAGTCATTCCCTCCTCTCGAACTGTTCTCGCACATTGCAGTCTATAACCTCTTCTCAAGAGGCGCTACTTTCTGGCGTCATATGTTGGTGTTTCCTGAAGATTGAGAGCGTGGAAATGAACACAGCTTAGGTCAGTTCGATCAATGCAAAGGGTTCATCCGAGAGAGCTCTGAAACTATGAAATCAAATCAATCCTGGTGAAACAAGTTTTTAGTGAACTCACTGTAGTTACCTATTACCGTGTGAACTCATCTTGACGTCTCTTCACCTGTAGTTTGTAGCTTACTTTTTTCATTATTATTTAAAAGCTACCTGTCTATGATGCTTCTGATTACCCACCATTTATCTAAAAATTTCTGAAAGTTGTATTTCGGTTGTGCGTGGTCACAAATGACCCGTTTTGGTGTCGTAATTTGTTCCTAAGCTTTATTTTTTCACATATCCCTTCCTTGGTTATTGTACATTGCAGATTGACGAATTATGGAATTCATTGGCGAGTATATATCTCCGAGCAACAGATCTTTCCTCAAAATCACCTTTATCTGGTAGTGAGGATTCGTCCAATTGTGTAAACATTAGCTCTTATATTCAGGGTTCTGCTGACCAAGATCTTGTTGACTCTTATTATCAGGAATTCGGCATACTTTTAAAACTCTCTCGTTTAACTTCTAATTTAAATTGTTCAACCAAACTTGTGATCGACGATCAAACTCTCGATAAACTGGCTTGTGTCATTTTTGACCGTCTAGCAACTCTTTGTTTTTATCAAAGTGGTATCACTGTATATAACCATCCATTCGTTTACCATGCTTTATACAGTGTAAGTACTTACAAGTTTTCATCTTACCTTCCATTTTCATTAGTGCGAATTATGATTTAGTGAATATTATATTTAAGGTCGGTTTCGAATTACATTATTAGCTTAACTGACTCTTTAATTTAAAGTTCGTAATATTTTGAACCTTGAATATGTTGGAAGACGTTAGACTCACTGATGACTTTACCTCAAGGTCTGTTCATGCATACACCCCAGGGTCTGTTAATGTGTTTGCAGATTTTAGAAAGTCGTAGATGCCAAAGTCAATTAGGCAAATGTTTTTCTGGTTCATCCATATTGAGAGAGGACATGGGTTTAGTGCATGACTAACCGATTTTTGAGTAAGAAGTCCTAATTTTCTTATGTAGTTGATCTTTTTTTTTCACTAGTTTTGATCATTGTCTTTAATGTATGCCTAGTATGACAAAATAAATGTTTCTTGATTTATGTAAACTGTACATACTGCCAACTTCTTCAAACATCATATTAATCGCCATTTGTTTACTTTTCTCTATAGAGTAGGGATTTACTAGGGGATCAAAAATGTGCTCTACAACTGAAGTGATAATGTTGTGAGAAAACGTAGGAAGAAAAGTTTGTATACTGAATAATCACAAACAACTGAAACATTTTTTAAGAGGCGTAGTTCAGTTAAAATTAGTCTAGAAGGACTTAATTCTGTTAAGGAATTTCATCTAACGTTTTTGAAATATTACAATTGGAAACTGCAACGGCATCTCCACTGACTTTTATTCCGAGTCACACCCTATGGCTTCTCTTGTCATTCGGTTGAAGGATCTCTAAAACCACTACTGCAGGGTTGAGATGGATCAACGGATGCCAGTCATATACAGCTACCTTTCATGTCATGGTGTCACGATTTAAACTGGCCAACTGTTAGCCTTTTCCATCAAAATAGGGGGGAGCACAGGCCATTTTATTCATTTTGTTATTCATGTTATGAAACATTGAGAGCGATTGAAACCTTTCCAAAAAACCATTATTTTCATCTCTTTTACAGGAAGAACAATCAATATCTGTAAATAATTGGTCCGAGTTTTTGTTGAAGCCTTTGGCAAATTTTACATAAAGATTACTACTTTTCTTTCTTGTTTTATTAATTGTATATGTATTTGAAATGATAATAATTTGTTACACGAGTTCATTTATTTCACATGCAGTGGCGCTTTCAATGTCTGTTAACCTTTTGCCAAGGTTAGAATTGAAGTGCGCATAAGAAAGTTTTGCTCTCTACTAGGATGTTAGTGAATAGTGAGTTTGATCTAGTCTTGTGTGTAATGTAGTTGTAAACGTTTAGTCATGTGTTTTGGTATCAGAATTAGCTTTCAACATTATGTGGAGAAGTATCGGTTGGGTTTTTTTGTTGGAATTAAACTTTTCTGCATACAGTGTGAAATTAAGTCATCTTCCAAGCAGTTAATACTAGGTTTTTGATATTTTCATACTGCTTACCAACTCGTGTCGAACAGTGACTTATTGGTTAATTAATTAGAATTTTCGGTCGGTCTTAGGTTTAACTTTCTATCTAGTTCGGCTTGGGCGTTCAGATGATGAAACTAGTCTTTACGCGACAGTTTGGCTCAGTACTGAGTACCGAAACCTGTACTTGGTAAATGAGTATATGTATAATGTGTAATTTGAAAAGTACATTCATTTGTATGATTGATAAAGTGGAGCAATTGTTCAGGGCTTAAGGTGTCCAACTTTTAGCTACTAAGTGGCAGTTCTGAACTTCACACTTCAGTTTGGGAAACCGTATAGTATCAATAGCCCTAATACTGAAAGTATGGCTCTAATTCAATTACATGAATCTAAATGAAACAGTTGCTGCTTTCATCAAGTGTTAAAGTATGTTACAGGAATTACCAATTTAATAGTTTTGTGGTGCGCGCTACTTATATTGATTTAAGTAGTATATGACGCGAGTTGAAAACATAATGTCTGGCAGCAGAAGATAGGGGAAGATCAAGAAAGGAAGAACGGGAACACAATGGGATTTGTATGAGAACGCATGAACAATGAAATGTCAGACAATCGATCGATGTTTGCAACAGAAACAGTCCAGTTTGATATGATGGATTGATATTTTGCAAATTAACGATTTACTATTTGGTTGTTAGATTTTACCAACTGGTTCTGTAATTTGTTACCAAATACGTTTGATTGTCCTCCACTTGTGTTCTATTCACTACAGTTTCATGTAGTCAGATGTGGTATTCTGCTTATTACCTATGCTGGTTAGGTTTTTTTCTGCACACAGTCTCAAAAATTTAAAGAAAATGATCATGTTCAATGCAATTTTTTAAACATCATTAAAGTGACTGTCTAAAAAGTAAGACATTTATATTACTAACATCGTCTTCAAGAATAGCAGTAATTAATGTACAGTTTTATAAATTATAATAAATGATGAAAGTCCGTAGTTTCTTGATTATACTTATCGTAAAATTTTGGCTTATCCGATAGACTTACATCACTTGAGTAGGGTAATAAATTAAATTTAATCCAGTTTTTCTGTTGATAGATTCTTCGAATTAATCCACACTTTACTTTTTCCAGTTGACTGGTGATATTCATGTGTAAAATTTGTTCATTCTTTATTTGCTTCTGTTTCAAATTAGTAAAATTTATTGTGAATGAAAAAATTCTTCATCTCTATATTACAATGAATCGGAGATTTTCAAGAAAAAGTGTTTAAAACTTAGTAGTCTACTGATTATCAAGAAAATGTTGCGATTATTTTCTTATGACAGTTAAAATATTGCTATTGAGTTATTCGAGCTGTAACCGTTTCGTCTCTAACCAGTTGCTTTTGGTGATGTTCTAGTTTACCAGCGTGGATATCATATAGCCAATAAACAAAATAACGTGACAGTCTATTTTAGATTGAATATTTTCATATTTTTGGAACGGGAAACAGTTTATATGAAATAACTTTATGTTATAGTGACATACAGTATAAGAAATTCGCACCAAGTATTTGCTCGTTATCTATTAACTAATTTCAAATCTCTAAGATTTGTTAGTCAGGTTGACGTATAGGAAAAAATAGCTTGAAACTTATGGGTAGTTAGTGTTCCAACGTTGTATACCTTAAAGTTTGAGTAAATCTACAAGAGCAATAATTAACCTCATTGTTTAATGTTACATACATCATTCAGTGTATAAAAACCTTGTAGGTTATTATCTCACCATTTCTGACCTTTGAGGGTAATAGTTGGAACTGTCCGACGTGTTCATTGTAGGTGGTAGGTTTGAAACTAAGTGGATTTATTGTCTTGTCTACTGTAGTAACCGGATTTTATTGATGACGCTGACAATGTGGTGAGTAACGAAGTGGTATTGACACGGTGTCGTGGTGCATTTGTTATTTCCAGGTAATTAGTTATAAATCTCAAACCTGGGTTTTATGCTTTTCGAGAATTAGCAACAAAAAGTAACCGAAACCGTGAGGAATCTCAGAGGTTTACAAGTTTCGAAGTTTTGTCTTCCAGCTCATTTAAATTACATCCGGTCACTAGTGGGACCGAATTGCATTACTTATCTAGTGTGACTGTAGACGTTAAACGTAATTGCTAATTAAGTGTGCTGATGAGATGATTTTTACTAAAAATAACCATCCTATTATTATTATTACTTTTTTAAAAAAAAACTTACATCTGAATGTTCTACTAATCTCGTTTTTGATTCATCTAATGAGTTATTACTTGGTTTGTGATTGTTAAACATTCTTGAGTCCACACATTGTTGATAGCGTAACTGTAGAAATGAAATTTTAGACATAGCTTTAGCTAAATCAGTTTAAGTAAAAATCAAGTTATCTCATTTATAACAATAATTGGTAAATCAGCTCATTTTTTTCATTTCTGATCGTTAAATTCATATAGTCCTGTTATTGTATAGGACCAGAAGTGACATAGTTTAATCTAGTGTATTAGAAGACCGTTTCTTGAGATTAAAGAGCTTATAGTGCCAGAAATTATCATAATTCACTTCACAGTAATTTGACCATGATAGAATTAAGAGAGCGAGTGAAATTCAGTACTAATTTAAATTCTCCGACTTGGATAATCATAAGTAATTATTAGGTTTGTGCAATTTCTTAATGACAACCGTTTTCAAACTATTGTGATTCATAAGACCGATCTCAGGAGATTTTTTAGCAATTCTATTCTGTTAAGATTACGAACCTAACTAAGACAACAATTATATCCTGGTTGGTTAAATTATCATTGGTTATCGGATTTTAGTTTATTCAAGTCTTACCTGCCATAGTTTTTGAAAGATGGTCTTTGGGAATTCAAACCATTTTAATTATTCTCTCCTACAGTTTCAATATATTTACAGTTACCAAACAAACTAAATGGGAAACGGGTCTGACTAGTTTTAGTGTTTCTTTTGAAATAAGTCTCTTAATTGGTTGTTGTTAATTTGTTTATAGCAAATACTTATTAAACGATTTAAATGGGCAATATGCTTCGTAGATGTAGTGTTCGTAATTCACAGTTCGAGATGAACATTGCACGACTTGGTAGAAACTTATTACGAAATTCCAGGGTTAATAATTTTCAAGTTAAAAATGTATAATGCGGTGCATTATCTGCTTAATATCATCTAGTTGCGCCACCAATGTAAGGTAGACATAGATTTACATAGTATTGAACCTGGTACAAATATCTACTGATTTGATTTGCGAATTTATTTAAACCGAATGAGAGGAAAGTTAGAGATTACAACGTAATAATAATGATACTGATATTTGTGAGAAATATTAAAAGACCAAAGTCATTGTAAATTCATGAAAACAGATGAACAGCATGGAAAATACACAAGAAATTAACTGTTATTGGTTTTAAAAGAATGTCTAGATGAATATTGTATGATATATAATTCTGGACAGTTAATAAAAGCAACTAGGAATCACCGTTGGTAGTCAAAAGCACTTGGAAGAAGTAAACATAGAGGGTAGTATGTCATAATCTATTTTTGATTATTTTTTTAGAGCTTAGTCAAATATGATCGCTGGTTTTTCATTAATGATCAAATCTTGTAAATGTTCGGTAGGATTTTGTGAATCCAACAATTTCTCAAAGTTTGACATCGGTCATTATTAACAAGTAGTGGATCACGGTTTGATGACGAGTATAATTGTTAGGTTTCATTTTCTCAGCTCTTCTATAATATGTACTTCTTCAAGATCAAATAACAGTATGCTTAATTCTAGGTGGTTGGAAATAGTCGACAGGAAACGCGGCCTAGGTTTCGAGTTAGCTGGCAATGGTCAGCGTAGCATACGTCAAGCTCCGAGGGTAGTAATGCTCCCTGTGCTATTCGAACCTGGGTCAATTAGCTTCACAATCTGAGAAGTTCCTGCCGAGCTATTCGGATCTCAACTTACCTGTAGGATTGAGATATCTGCAATTAATTGGTCATTTAGTAGTGAACATTCATATTTGTTTAGTCCTTTAGGGGTGATCGGATTTGTAGATGCTCTTTGTTGATGAGTATCAAATAGCACCAAACTTATGTCTAGGGTTTCCTGCTCACTACCTTTAATCACCTAACACTTCAACATAATATCAAGTCACTCATACCAGTGGCCTTATTTCAACTTGTTCAATAGAACTTATTCAACACTAAAGGACTACAGAAACAAGGAATTAGTCACTATTCAGTACTCAATCAGGCGTACACTTAATATTCATAGTATTAATATACGACAAATATAAATTGAACAAAAAAAACCCAGAAGTAAATATGTATGAAGTTCGCAAACACTAACAATAAGTTGAATATATAACAAATTTAAACTTTTTGGATATATTAAACTCTTTATAAATGTTGAATTATTTCTGAGTGGTTCTGTATACTAGTTTGTTAACTCGTTATCAAACTTTGGGACTTATTTCTTAAGTTAATGAAAGCTTATTCAAATAATTTCTATGAAATATTCTGTCTTCCTGCTTAAGTTTCTTCATTTTCTAACCCTTGAACTTACCTAGGTTATTTTTATTCATATTAATATATTGAATTAAAGAGATATTATTTATTTTAATGGAGTTGGTTGTGAGTTTTTATCTAATCTAATGAAATGGATTATCTTATTTAACAAAATGTATACAATTCGAAATCAGATCTTATATTCATATGTTTTATTCACTAAGACAAGATTTCACTAATTTTATCGATTATTTAGTTACCAAGTAAAGTTGAATATTAGCTAATGATTGAATCAACGACGCGTATTTTGTACTATTTAGAACTTTTCACCTGGATGTACTTGTTTTCCAATTGTGATATTAATATTAAAACTCTAAATTTACTACCTTTCAATGTAAACGTTAAATGAACTATTCATTGAGCTACTTAATCTAGATAGTCACTAACTTATGAAACTAGTAGTGAATTTTATTTTATTAATAAAGTATCTCACTAATTATTATAAAATTTATAAAAAGAATAATTTTGTATTGGCTTACTTCACAAGCTGCTTTAAGTGTTTTACATAATTCCATAGCATTTATTGGACAAGTTAAAACATGACATAAAAATAAATTATCAGCTGTATGTTGTATAATACCACAAATTCTGAAAAGTAATTTTAAATAAATAAATAAATAAATAAATAAATAAATAAATAAATATATATATATATATATATATATATATATATATATATAAATGCAATAAATAAAAGATAACAGAAAGATATTTCTATCCAGTTTCTTATAATTTTTAAGTGAAAGAAGGTTTATGTGAAAGGTTTCATAGTCTATAAGTAACTTGACAAACTGAAATATTATGTAATTTGGATAGTGATACATTATCTCTGTGCTAATGTGGTATGGCAAATCGAACTGATGTACGTGTGTACGAAGTTCTACATTGTTACTGACCGACTGTGATACATTATGGTTTGGAATGTTTACAGATAATTCAAAGCTTTATCAAAATGTCAATGTTCCTACTTAATATAAACAATTGAATATGCTTACTTTTTATTGTTGTATGGATGAATGATTTTAGAATTTGTATTTGTTCGATTCGAGCTAAGATCAAATGAAATCCTAATTTTAGACTTTTTATTGTATCAAATTTTCAAATTAATGGATATCTTATGATTTAGTTAAGTATAATAATTCCAGGCAGCCTATTTGAATATCTGGGTTACCTGTTCTGGATATTTCAGTAAACTAAACGCGCTATTCAAAAAGGGCAGTGGTATTTTTCCTCGCTGAGTAAATTCTATTGTTTTGATCGTTAATATGTATTAAAACTACTGTTTTTCACTTTAATTGAGTTTCTTTCAGTTAAAGTATTCGATTAGATTATCGTTTTTGTTTCTAAAGTAGTTTAGTTGTCAGTACTTTTGAGTACTCTGTTTTTCTATAGTATCTGTTAGTACTTTTGGTTCTAACAATCTACAGTTTTCCACTTTTTTGGTCATAGATTATTTTTGTCCCTGAGTATTTTTGCATCTAGTTCTTTCTAAAAACAACCCGTGTTTAAATGACTGGAAAGTGCAAAAAAAGTAATTGCCAACGCCCGGGCTGTCGTTATCCTGTTGAAAGCGGCATGCAGTGCGATGAGTGCAAAGGATGGTACCACGAAGTTTGCACAAATTTAACGCCTGCAGCTTTCAAACGGTTCAGTAGGAATGGTTGTGTATGGCTCTGTCAACAGTGCCGTTCGGATGCTAATAGCTTGCTAACCGAGTCCATCTCATTGGTTAGTGCTGCTAAAAAATGTTTTGGCAAGTGTGGTCGCGACACATCAATAAGTACTCGCTCCGTTGACACGCAAATTGACGTGAGGCAAACTAAAGTGAGTTCGAAAACAGATGACTCGCACCGACCAAAGGGGGGAGAACAGTCTCCAAAGAGTTCTGTCCGCACAAAAAACTCAAGGAAAAAAGTTTCTTCTGTCCTACGTCTTCAAAATGGTATCCATAAAACAACACATAGAAGCCGCAACCGCAAGGCTCGATCAGTTTCTAAAGGGTTACATAACCTGACCTCCCAAGTCATCGAAAACCCTCCGGAATCCCACAGTATGTTTACGCGACTATGGTTGCTTCTCCAAGCAACGTTGACGAATGAGTACAGGTTGTAAGGAAGAAACAGAAAAACGATATAAAAGGGAACCCTGCCCCACAAAAGTAGTCGAAAAATCGAAGGCTGATCACAGTAACAGATCAGTAATTTTTCATAGCATCAAGGAGAGCGAAAGCTCCGAACCAAAAACTCGTTTTGAGCATGACATTGTCCTGATAAAACAGCTACTTAATCAACTCATGCCTCAAAATATCTCCGGAGTCACCTTGCTAAAGGTGTATAGACTAGGTAGTTTAGCGAACTTGAAGCCTAATCAATCTAGACTGCTTAAAATAGTATTCAAATCTTCGAATGAAAGGGACTTAATTTTAGAGAATGGACATAAAGTAAATGGTTCGGGAGTTTTTATCCGAAAGGACTTGCTGTTGGCAGACCGTGTAAAAAGACGGGAAGCCGAAAAAGAACTACAATTTAGGTTAGACGCTGGCGAAACAGACCTGAAAATTGTAAATTTTCGGGTTGTGAGGCTTTGTCAGACAATGATGGCAAATCCACTATGGTTGAAGCACGAAGCATCTTAAATAGGCTACGGATCTGTTACACTAATGCCCGAAGCTTGCTCAATAAGCGATCGTAACTAGGTGAACAGATTGACTCTACAGAGCCAGACATAATCGCAGTCACAGAAACCTGGCTGACACAGTCTATAGATAGTACTGAACTCGATTTTGAGGGTTTTACTTTAGTAAGGACCGACAGAATACATAAGCGTAAAGGAGGCGGAGTAGCTCTATTCATTAGGAATGCTATCCCGTTTGTCATTATTGATAGTGTATCCCATGAAAGTGGGACGTGTGAATTGGTTAGTTGCCGCTTGAAATTCAAGGGTCAAGAGCTGCTGATTGGTTTGGCCTATCGCAGTCCAAGCTGTGAGGTAAATGATGTCCTGCTAAACAGGCTCAAAAATTGGTCGCAAAGCGGTCGATGTCTAATCCTAGGGGACTTTAATGCACCTATGGTAGACTGGGGAAATCTGCGAACCGAATCATCAGATAATTCCTTCGAGCAGGAACTAGTTGATGCGGTTATAACATGTGCCCTAGTGCAACATGTGAAAGAAGCGACTAGGTACGACCCGGACACTGAATCATCCTTACTAGATCTTATATTAACTCACTATGAGGATGACGTTGCGAACCTCCTTTACATGCCACCTCTAGGTAAAAGTGATCATGCAGTTTTAACTTTTGACTTCCATATAACTGTCAATCACGAGCAAGCGTCAACTCAATCCAGATCTAACGTCTGGAAAGCAAGCATACCAGATATCATGCACTCGGCATCATTAGTAGATTGGACAATAGACCCAGAGTCCTCAATTGAAACGGCTTGGAATGCATTCCGAAATTTAAACTTAAAAGTTACCGCGCCCCACATTCTTTGGACTATACCAAGGGGGCCGAGAAACTCCCCACCATGGTTCAATAGGGAGGTCCGCATCCTTCTCCGTAAGAGAAGAAAAATGTGGGATAGATTTAGGTTACTGGGGACTGATGAGACAAAATCTCAGTACTGAAAAGCTAGGAATACCTTTGCCTCGACCCTCCGTAAGTCTAGAAAGCTGTACGAAGAAAAAATTGTTAAGGAATCTATAGAATGTCCTAAACGAATGTATTCCTATATAAACCAAAGGACAAAAAGAAGAGGAATTATTCCTGCACTATGGGGAGACAGTACTGCCGCATCATTAATGGAAGATGACTTTGGTAAGGCTCAAGTGTTCTCACAGTACTTTAGCAATGTATGTACCATAGAAGCACCCTTCCCGTCAGCGAATACAACCCCCTCCCACACATACACTGGATAGCGTGACCATTAATGAACTCGATGACTTTGATCTGCTAAATAAGCTTGACATAGGTAAATCCATGGGGCCCGATGAATTGCATCCTAGGCTACTAAAGGAATTATCTAACTTCGTTGCGAACCCTTTAAGTATATGCTTTAAGCTATCCGTAACTCAGGGTCGTTTACCAAAAGACTGGAAGAACGCCATAGTAAGTCCTGTCTTCAAAAAAGGTATGAAACATAAACCTGAGAATTACCGACCCGTTAGCCTAACTAGTGTGGTTGTTAAAATTTTAGAAAAGATTATTCTTGTCTCACTAACTTATTAGTCAATCGAGAAAGCTGGTGCACTTTTAAGGACCAAAAGTTACCTGTAGACGTGGCTTACATTGATTTCAGCAAAGTTTTTGACAAGGTTCCGCACAACCGGCTGTTATATAAGCTAAAAAATGTCGGAATTGGAGGCAATCTATTGACGCGGATAGAAGACTTCCTTGTTGGGTGCCAACAAAGAGTACGGGTAAACTCAAAATTATCTAGCTGGGAAACTGTGCTTAGTGGAGTGCCCCAGAGTACAGTTTTGGGGCCAGTGCTATTCCTCTTGTATGTAAATGACCTTCCTCGCTTACTATCATCATCGGTCTTGCTATATGCTGACGATATCAAGATATGGAGAACGATACGATGTAAGGGTGATAGCTTAGAACTCCAAAATGACCTGAAGAAATTATCCGAATGGTCTCATACATGGCAGCTGCCGATAAATACTTCCAAGTGTGTTGTGATGCACATCGGTCATCAAGGTTCAGATACATACACGATGAATAACACTGAGCTACCTGTTGTTCAGACACATAATTACTTAGGAGTCATCGTTAGCCGAGATCTGAAGACTACTGCACACTGCCGTGCAATAGCCGCCGAAGCTTTTATAACTTTATGGTCAATACGTAGAGCTTTTACTCATGTCGACGCTCAAACGTTTTTGACTTTGTATACAGTGTTCGTACGTCCTAAACTTGAGTACTGCATACAAGCGGCTAGCCCCTGCTTAAAAAAAGACAGTGAGATTTTGGAAAAGATCCGGAGAACAGCAACTAAGCTGATTCCCGGAATAGCGAAGCTTCCGTATGATGCTCGAATGGCCAAGGCAAACCTATTCCCTTTGTCATATCGTAGAACTAGAGGCGACTTGATTACAGTTTTCAAATTGCTTAGTGATAAACTTGCACCTGATATGCCCTCATTTTTCCTGTCTTCCAAAACAGAGAATTTACGAGGACACTCCAAAAAAGTTCACAAGCCCAGAACAAATTACTTGTCATCTGATTATCGACTTTCCCACCGAATCATCAACGAGTGGAATTCATTACCTCAACACGTCGTTGAAGCTCCATCCGTAGATTCTTTTAAAAGAAAGTTGGATCAACTGAGAGAACACAATTGCCAGGACTAACACAGGCCATCAAGCCTCCTGTCCTTTCCAAACTGAAACTGAAACTTTAACACATCATTATACCCACTAGTCACATAATCTATTCAGGAGCGTTTGTGAAAAGTTTACGACATTTCACTGTTTAAGTTAGGAAAGAGCACAATCAAAGACATTTTGGTTACTGGCAATATACATAGAAAACAATGTGCATTACTTAGATGTCAATTCCTGAACTGCTAATATCTAACTGGCGACCACTCAGTAATTATCGCAAAGATCAATCAAGAAATAAGAAATGGAAACGTGTTGAAATTCTTTGCTCTGAGAATTCTATATTGTACCAAAAATATAATATTGAATAAAGTCACTAATAATATTAATATTATCATACTAAAATTCTTTCAGATTCATGTTCCCCAGTGGCTTTGATATTTGGTGAAATTAATGTGAGTTAATCCCGGTCAAATAAGTTGGAGAAGCCATTAGGCTCTTAAGAAAAAGAAAAGAGCTTTTGCAAAGAGTGCGCAACTGAAGCACTGGAGGAAGCGAAGCAAACGGACACGTTACAGTTTGCCTTGCTGTTTTTGTGTCCAAATTGGAAATTCGAGTTGTAATCAATGTGTATTACAACAGGTAGTCTTCGCTCATATTAGTACATTAATAATCAGAGAAGCATATTTCTATAAACACGGAAGTAGTATCAAGAACTAGCTACTTAATTATTGATTTGGTGAAGTGATTTTAATAGATATTGAGTGCTTGAGTATGATATCGATCGTAATCATCAAAAATGCTTAGATACGAAGCGAAGTTCTATAAAATTAGAGTTGCTCATACCTGTATGAATCATTACATACATAGATTACAAAATTTTACTGATTCCCTTGTTTAAACGTCTAATATTTAATTCAGGTGCAACAAAAAAAGGCGCAGTATACTTACTTTTCATCTTTATTGTAAATCCCAAAAAATGGAACTGAGCAAACGCGAAGATTTACAACAATATGTTTTTGATAAAACTGTTACAAGAGAGAACAAGATGATATAAATTAAATTATATAGCTCTATGATACAACATTCTGATATCCGTATTTAAAATGTTTTGGGAAAAAGTATGCATCCTTCAGAATATGATTATTCTAAGATTTAATTTTAAACAAACAGAAAGGGGACTAGTTCTTACCTACTTACGTTGTCAACACAAATTGTTTCAGAACTATGAGGCATCTTATATGCTATGCAGCCATATGGCTTCATTTATACTTTATGATTGTACACAAGGCTCTTTCTTATCGATTAACAGAATTTTGAATACTCCATAAAATTATATTATTCAAAGTTACTTATCAGGATTGGAATTACATGGCATTTCTTTTTGAGTTTTGCTTCAAAAAGCTAAAAAGACCCTAGTTGGAAACCGTTTGGTTGAGTAGTAAAACGTAGTTTTACATTCATTTTAAAATCGATCTAGATAAATAACAATTGAAGAGCTTTCATTATCGTATTGAAGAGCATCATTAGCACTCTACTTCATGACTTCTATGTGAAGTATGGACTGAAGAAATTGATCAGAGCAATAATCAAAATTCTACAGTTAAGCTATCTAGCTCACAGAGTAAAGAACCTCCAGGAATATCCATTTGAGCTGTAAATCTTCATCATTTCAAAATAATAATTTGAAATATCTTTTTATCAAGTAGATTAACAAAACAATAAACAGTTTACTAAAAAATAATATCGTTTAGGCTATAAACAAGTTAAAAAATCTATACTAAACTAAATATTTGACTTTCATATCTGCTAATATCTTTCACATCAACATTTGTTTTAGGAAAAAACTTTCTACACAGCCAAGCTCCGAATTGTTTTCTTAAGCCGGCCTACCATTCCTGGGTGTGTTAAAGATAAACTTTTGCTTTGGGCCACATCAATGTGTATTTACAAATTTACGTGCTCATGTGGGGCTCGTTATATAGGCCAAACAGAGCGATCACTGTCCAAACGTATCTCGGCACACTATCCGGCTTGGCTTTTAAAAGGAGAATGTAAGACAATCACTAGTTCTATACAGGAGTATTTAATCAATTTTGGACACACCGCTCCCAAGTATTCTTCTTTTAATGTGATCTACAGAGTCAAAGGAATTGGATCGAAGGCGTGTTGAATCAATATTTTATGCACTGCTGAGGCACTGGCAATTCACGAACTCAAGCCCGAACTTTGCGTGCAGAAACGATTTGTCTAACCTCTCATCCTTCCTTGGCCCTAATTCCCTTAATGGGTATGTTTCTGTTTTTTTTGTTTTTTCTGTACTTTTATTAGGAAAACAGTTATACAACTATTTTATACCTAAAAGGCTGTCATATTAAAACTTCTCGGTACAGGTGTATCAACAGTTTACTAATTACCAACAAAACGGTCAATGTTTTCATATCTATAACAGTTTATAAATGTATTTTAATGGTAAAATTAACTGAAGAATCTCAGTTCTGCAAAGTCTAATAGATCCTGACTTCAGAGAAAGAGAGAGTTCTTAAAGCTATAGCGACAAATTATGATTGGTGGATTTCAACAACATTTTCACTGAGACGGCTATCATTGATAACATTAAATGATAGATCGAAAATATCCTTAATCAATTGAAGCCGGAAATACGAATTATCGAATGGTGGCTTAGAGTTACGGTGTTCTCTGAATGAATTGTTAGTCTTAAACATGACCCCCTTTTAGAGTCGTTAGTGCAAAACAGCTTTCAAATTTCTTTATGGGCGAAGTCAGTTCATGGTTAAAGCTATTTCCAAGTTGAATAATCTTCATAAACACATTTTATTCAGACTTTGGTTGTTACTGACAGTTACATTCGGATCATGAGAAATATAAAGTTTAAGTGTGATTACATTCAATAAAAAGAAGACAAAATAGCATTTCGCCGGAAAAAGATATGGAGTTGATTAAATGATTTATGAACGAGCTGAAAATAAAATATCACTGAAATATTCTGTGCATGATGTTAAGTACTTGGTCTTTGGTCGAAGTTTTATATCCGTCACTGTTTATCAATAATGTTTTCTTCATTACTTTAAGAGGAGTGATGTCTTATTGTGGTATTTGTACTAACTGATGATTCTTTTGTATTTGATTGGGTACTTTACTGTGAATTTCAAATATACTTAGCCTAATTGTGTTCATTTATTTCTACCTGTCTTAAATTGCACTATTTTGAGAATCCTTAATTAAAAAATCAGTTTGAATACTTCTTATTATCATATTTATTTAAGATTTAGATCTATAACATAGTGATAACTTCTGAGAGGTTTCGAACTTTGGTGGGGTTTTGTTCTCTGAACTGGATGATTTGTAGATGACAAAACTCTACCAAAATCATGAACTTGAGCTACAAATCTTCTCCACCATCTCAGGTTTCGGACTATTTATATGTACTAAAAACTAACTTAATGTCGAGTTAAATAGTGTTTTCTTTATTCTCTTGATAAGGGAGTATCGATGAATTTGAGAAATTCATTAAATAAATTTGAAAAAACCTGCAGTAATTTGAATATATTTTCATCTAACAAACTACAGAATAACTTTCGTTGATTACATTATTCTTTTTTATTTAATTTTTAACTTCATTAAAATGTAATCAAGACGTTAACATTTATGTCAACTACTTCGTTTGATCATTAAACGTTTTTCAACAATTAGTCAGTCAGCAACAACGTAGAACTTCGTACGTACGTACATCAGTTCGAGTTGCCATACCACATTAGCATAGAGATACAATCGTCGATTTGAATCCCATAGTGGTAGAGGTGGTAAATGAATAAGCAGTAATCAGAATTAGGGTTTGAAGATGTTTTTCAACAATCTGTTTTTGTTCGTTGTTTCTTCAGTATCATTTATAACTCGAACCTCTTCTTTATGTGGGTTCGTCTTCAACATTTCAATACCAGTTAATATTAACCAATGTGTTAAATATGTTGTGTTCCTCTCCCCATTTCTTAAGTAGTTTTGGTCTAAAGTTAAATGATTACTGTGAAGCTTTCTATAATAATGTTATCAATGTAAACTTAGGTCATTAGTAGATGACGAGAAGTTATGAAATATAATGAATTCATGTTATTCTTCTGATCTGGTTCTTCTCGCTTTATTTAAATTTATCAAGCGATCAGGATGTATGAAACGACCAAATGATTACTGCAGAGTGGTAGACAATTTTTTCCTCATTATGAAACACTTCGGTGAATAATCATATTCAACATATTTCTCAGGGAAGTCTTTAGACCTTATTTTTGTGTGCCTGTCGTTATATTTGAACTATTAAACAAAAGATCAGGGACTAGGATAATGAATTCCAGTCAGTAAATTATCAAATCTGGACGGTTTTTCAAGATTCAACCCAGACCAAATTGATTTTAGTCTGTTTGAGTTATTCCACAATGAAACAATTTCTGTTTATAGGATCTAACGTAATTTTTAAAATGTAAAGTACTTATGAATTTTCGTTTTGATGTGTTGATAGTTCTCTGCACGATAAAATGATATCATTCAATGAAACATTTTAATTTGAGAACATTAGACAACATATCGAGTGGAACCCGAGATAACCAGGTTCTATAGTGAACAGAATGTTTTTAGACAACATTCATAACTTCCATACATTCACAACATAGTTCGACTATCATGACAAGTCTCATCAAAAGGCATCATTTACAAAGAAAATTAAGTGAAGAGAGTCAGTCTGTCAATCAAAATTTTTATAAATTACATAATTATGCTTAGAAATCAGAACGTTTTCCAAATTTAAATAAGTCCCTGAAGCTATGATTTTGATTAAGATTGACTAAACCATTTATTCAGAAAAAAAGTGCGTTAAGTTTTAAGTGGTAAATTTCTTACGAAATTGACTGTTGATGGAGAAATCGAAACATATACTGGAAGCCATTGATTTGGATGTATGTTCTTTAGTACAGTTTGAATAGCCTGATTCATTGTTCTCATACCTTGAAAGGAACAACCGATTTAATAATACAAGTTAAATTAAAGTTGAGTAGAGTAAACTTAACTACAAAGGTGGATTTTCAAAGTGGGTGCTGAGGAAAATTAAATGATTTGATTACACTGTTAAGTGTAAAGTAAACAAGAATATCAGCACTGTCGGAGTTCGGACTTACAAAGCTAAACTGTTCAGTATATGTGGCGATACAATGTTCTTGTAAAAATGCAGCAATACTGTACATGGTTACATTTCTCTGAACATACGGTGTTTATCGTCGTTCAGTAGTATGATTCGCTGTCGTTCGAAGTGATTTATATATGTTCCGAAATCTTCTTGTGAACATCTATCGGTTACTAGTAATTAGAAATGATCATTTCAGAGTACGACAAAAAATGTAATTTCATCCATGTTTGAAAGAATCAACAGATTTAATCGAAACCAATGACAGTTAATTGAAACTATTCAGTGTTTAGAAGCTAGATTCCATAATCGTAAAGTTAAGTTATTCACAAAATCACTGCCAAAATAATCTAAATTATTATTTGAGGAAGATGCTGTTTATTAAATGTCCAATAAAAGAATATTCATCATTCTCTGTTTACTTGTCAGATTTTATTAGTCTTAGAGATGACCTTGTAGAATTAAGAAAATTGTTAAATATAGAGATTCATGCAAATCAGAGAGAGGGGGTGTGTGGAGATTTCAGTAACTTTTAATAGTTGAATTCATGAGTCAACTGAAACTAAACCTGGAAGCAGTGGATGGCCATTTCGTCTTAGTATGGGACGGTGGCACAATTCGTGGATTGGTTGAAGTTAGACATTAACACCATTGGATTCCGGCTCAGTGATCTCGAAGTTAATCGTTCGCGGGCGAGAACGATAGGTCCTGGGTTCGAATCTCTCGGAGCAGGATCGCGGATGCCTACTGTTGTGGAGTCCCATACTAGGACGAAACGGCCATCCAGTGCTTTATACATCTAGAAAAATTTCCTAATTCTCTTCATTTCGCTAAAAGTAATATTTCGAAATAACTGCTTATATGACAAGCATCAAAAATGATGATTTTTTATTTCATATTCATACACATTTATTACTTACTGCTTTCTATTATACACTTAAGTAAACCAAATGGCCTTTCGATTATTTTGACTTAATTCAATCAAATTTTATCTCATTAAGAATGAAATAATATAGGACTATTACTGTTTATACAGTATAACTGGTAAGAAAACTAACATGCTTCGTTTATAGGCAAATATTTCATACGATTATTACCATCTTGGTTTTAAAAGCAAACAGAATTTCTGATTTTTTGATTGACTATAAATACCGATTTATTAAAAATATCCAATCGTTAGTTTATCGGAGTATCAGTGATATAAATGATGTTAAACACACTATCATTATTTTTCTACAAATGTAATTAACTTAACATAGAATTTAAGTGTAGTTGGATATGTGTTTTTAATATAGAACGGAAGAACAAACAACTTACCGAGTTTAGATTCGATACATATGAATCCTGCATAGAGACATTTCAATTTTCTATGTGGTTCATTTAAAGTTGACATACCAAATCAAACCTATCAAAAAAAATAGACATTGTATTTGTGTGTTTTAAAACATAAAGAGTTTATTCACTTTCCAAAACTTAAATTACTCTACCTTTCTTTGAAAAACAAGAATCCTATGGATAATGTCGAATGGCTAACGTACTATGTCACAAATTGATTAAATTCGGGTAAACTGTTGGGATTTAGTTTATTTGTTGTACTAAATTCTTATTCACTTGTAATTAAACTCCTAAGATGCCTTCCTTCCTTTTATTCCGATTGTTTGTAGATGGTTATATAAAGATTGTATATGGACTGCAATAATCTAACAATTATGTCTCACTAGCGACATATATCATCGATGGGAATCGACGGTAGTTGCACGATATGAAGAACTAACTGCAATTAGAAATGAAATACAATTATTCCCAATTCAGGTTAAGCACTTATCATGAAACTTGATGATCTTGTTTCCGATCCCTGGAGGGCCATAAATGGCCAATGTTGTGAAGTATTTAACTTGGATGTAATAGATATTAATTGTTTCTTAGTTTCCAATGGTTGTTTAACCAAGGTCAGTCTACTGTGTGAAAATTTAAATTTAACACCTTATAATAACTACATATATACTTAGTGGTTCAGACTATCAAAACGAAAAATTTATTTCTAATAAAACTATGTTAAGCTCACCAAATTTATTAGTTATCTAGTAAAAATGAACTAATTATAAATAAGATAGATTTCAATTCTCTTTAATGTTTGATCCACACAGTCAGTTATCATAGTTTTTATACTACAAAAATTTCTCCATTTATTTACCATGTAACATTAAATGATTTATTGAATCAATTAAATAAAGTTTGAAACTAATCTTTATAATGTTTTCTCGATGATAGTGTTATACTTAATTAAGATAATCAGTTCACTAGTTGTTTAGAATTGTCAGATACTTTGAAATCAATAGCATTATGGAAAGTAATTTGTCGTTTAGTCCAACTATACCTGGATACTTAGATATTGAAGTTGGTCTAATTATTATATATTTGAAAATATGGAAGATACTAGTTTCTATTTTCAAAACATTTTTTGACAATCAACTTTCCATAGAAATTAAGTTATGACATTAAGTGAATGTAAGAAGTATTTATGACAAGTGATAGCTAGTAAATGAATATTTATGACAATGTCATGACGTTTATGCTTTCTATCTTTTAGTCGTTTTAGTTATTCAAGTTACATATTCCTATGATTTAGCTTATTTTGCAATGTATAATGAAGTTGGGGGGGGGGGGAACTGTGAAAAATCATAGTCAAAGTTAATTCTACTTGAAAACCTTTTAAACTAAAGGAAAAATGCAGTTAATGAGATATTACTAGGGGACTTTGAAATGAATATCAACAATAATTTACGTAAATTAGGAAGATTCTACTTAATGTTATCAATTAGTCAACACATCAGGAGAGATATTTGTTATATGGAAAGCTTAGATTATTAATATACCCCGTATAACTTGAGCACTCGAACGTTAGAACCCTCTAAGTCACAAATAAGAAGACAGAATACTGGAGAAAGTGCTTTTTAGGCAAGAATCAAGATGTACAGAAAATCATGGGTATTTATAGATATTAGCATTCATTAAATCAACATTATAATTCAATCAATCCGCAAAGAGGCATGTTATGTTATTGGTTAATAGTAGCATGCCACGATGATATTATAGAAAATTCGATTAAGTTCTGATTAAATGAAACTCTTCAGCTACTCTAAGGCTTCTAGAGGCTCTGATGTAGTTCTCGGAAGCTATCCAACAATATTTTAATCATATTCCATTTTAATACAAGACTTCCAAATTCATCATTCACCACACTATGACATTTAAGTTATTAACTTTAATCTGTAAATGTTTTTGAAAACTAGTTTAGCTCCAAATATGTAGTAGTAGTAGTAGTAGTAGTAGTTCCAAATGTGTTTTGTATTTGTTATTTTCAGGATAGGTTACAAGCTTCTTATTAAAATGCATTGTTACATGTACTCAAAATATAAATGAAATAAATCTAAAACATATAAGTTTGTTACAATATTTTTTCCTGACTGTTGGTGGACTGATGGCTCATTAGTGTAAACAGGTTACCATATTGTTTATGGCATTGAAAATAAGAATTTCTATTTTGTAAAAACTGACAGATTTTTCAAATCTGTTACAAAACAAGGAACTAAACTAAATTAAAATTTTCTCCTATATGAAGTAATTAATCAAGTAAGACAATATTTATATTACATAATGTGTGGTCTGGATGGTTCTTCATATAAGAAATTAACTAAATTTTGTGTTTTACTATCAAGAATCTGAAAAATGGCTTTTTTTCCTTTAAATTTATCATACCATTGGTAAAGTTTAATCCAGATAATATTTTAGTCCTTAACTAAAAATGCTAATTGTGATGTAGTGTTTCTAAAGATTTTGCGCGCCCAGACTGAGGGTCTATTCATAGTATAGTAAATAACACAGTTTTAGTGTAAGGAGTTTGTGGAGGTTGTTAAATTTTGTTTTTAACAACACTACAAAAGCCTTACATTTATAATAGCCAAGAAGGGCAAATTTTGAGAGGTATTTGTCAGAACTCTAGTGGAAAGCTGTGGCCAGTGAGATCAAACAGTGTCGAGTATGAGGTAGTTACTCGGCATTGATTACACAATATCATGAATTTGTTGGAGTTAGAATAGTAAACCAGTGAATGTTGACTAAGTGATTTGAAAGGCTGAATGTCCAAAGAGAGGCGTTAAGGTTTTGTGTTCTACACCCAGTAAGGTTGGAGATAGGCACTTCTGAAAAGTTCTGCACTAGGATGATACATCTATCCGATACTTCTTGATTTTTAATATTTTTCTTACTAATGTCAGTTCGTAATGTGAACTACAAAATAGTTCTGTTAAATAGTTTTCAAATAATACATGATTTTAATACATTTTAACAAGACGATTAGAAAAATTTATATTTTCCCTTCGATGGTATCGAGTGGACCGTAACTGATCAATTTTTATTAGGATATGTGTATACTGTGCAAATGGCTTCGATATTTTCATTTAGTTTCAAGTTTTTTGTGAAGTTGGATTGTGGCTAGTAATGGAATTCGGAATGAAGGTTTCGCTCATCAGATGGATGTACTTATACTCAATCCACTAATTTGAAGGTAGTCTAACATCTGCTAAAGTGTCATTAAAATAGCTATAATGAAAGAATTAACTGATTTTTCTGTCTTTAAATTTATTTCATGAAAATTGTTTATCTTAATATTTCGAATATCAATAAAATAATATTGTTTATAGAAGAATATGGTAAAGTAAGATGGTGGAAGGAAGTATGATAGTGATGTACTCTCTTTCCTTCTTTCTTTCTTTCTCTCTCTCTCTCTGTATATATATATATATATATATATATATATATATATATATATATATATATATAAAAGTTTTACTTTTTAACCTAAAAAAAGGAAACTTCTGAAAATATTGGTATGGATGAAATTTATAATATTGTACAAAGTATCGGTTTGTTGGAAGCATTTTGGTATATAAATCGTAAATCATCATTTTGACTGATACTTATAAACCAGATATATTTGAAATCATTTTATTGAAACATTCAGAACGAGGAAATTCTTCTTCTGGTTGTGGACTCTTAAAAAGTATGCATAATAGTATGGGTTCGAACTAATAACCTACAAATATGAAACGCTTGCATCAGAATTTTGTGGTTGACACCAATCAGTTTTTCGTATGGCGAGATCTGCATTTGATGCCAAGTGTGGGTCACTAGCTAACTCCCAACATAATTTTTCAGACAAATCACGACTTGCCACCGAAAAATTTTAAAATTATTAGCGATAAAATGGTTATTAACTATTTGTTCATTTGCCGAGATGTGTATCGCGTGTGTTAACCACCACCTTCCCCCATGATGGCTGGAGTAGGAATAAGTTGAATGACAGATAAAGGAGCTTAACCAAAAAACATGGGACCAGTTATAGACGTCACTAACTATTGGTCTGAGATATGTTGATAGATACAGACTGCATGATTAGGGTCTGGGTTATAGCCGGTTCAATGGTTGTGGATATTCGGTGGCGTGACCCGTAATCGATTAGAATGGCGCATATGGATCCATTACTTTTCTTACCCTAGATCATGTGATCCAGTATTCCTTCATACATACCTTTTCATTCCATCTTCTTGAACCATATTCTTCATACTTAGTCCTTACCATTAGCATTGTTAATGAGGTTATTTGGACACTTCTGGTACTCGTTTTCTTGATTTGATCCAGTTGTGCTCATGTGATATACTAACATAAACTAACACATATTTGTATCAGACTGCACAATGATACTTACCAAAATACACAGCTGGGGGTATACAAGCGTTACCAAGAAGCTTAATATATAGAATAAAAATTCAAGTGATTAAACCTTATTTTTTCGGTCACAGAAAATTATGGGCATTGAAAAGCGAAAAGACACCAAGCTGAACCCAAAATTAAATTTTTCGCTATTTGTGTTTAGGCAGTTACGATTAAGATCTGAAATAACGCCAGTCATTAGTGAATAAAGTAGAGCGGTACATAAATCTTGGTCTTTTTAGGAGAAAACATACGGTTGACAAGATCAAAAGTGTGAATATTATTCCCATCAGTAAAATCTTTGGATAATCAAGCCATTACTGACCTAATTGGAATTAAAAGATTATGACTAATAGATTTTGAACTAATTATTCATTAATAAATTACTCATTGTATGTTGCAATTTCGATTTTAGAAAGGACTGAATGAATAATTAATTAATTAATAATGAAGCACTTTAGGTAACAAAGGAATGTTGAGTAATTCATTAGAGAATATTCATTTACTATTAGCTGACCCATAAACTATTTTCTTCCTTACTCCTTGATTAGTACTTAACCTCATTTGTTATTTAGTCTCGAATCCATTTTATGATGCAATCTTTTCTATCCTCCTGTAGACATATATTTTCCAGATAACTATTGTTATAACTTTTGACCTGTGTGCCCTGTTTATTGTATATGCGAATGTACAGCTTGAGTAAATGATTTCGTCGAAAAGAAAATTCTCTTCGCCGAATTCTCTTTTTCTTATTCAACGACACTATTGGTTATTTGAATATTCATTTTTTGTGAAAATCATGATTAGATAAATTCTATCCACTTATATACATGTCTTCAATGATAGATTTTCATACAAATAATAAGATTAGTTTTATGGAGTTTCGTGAAAAAGATTTTGTTCTGAACTATTAAAGGATAAATGATTTTGGGCATAAGATATTTTATAATGAAGTCATTGATTAATGTTATTCACGGGATTACTGTAACTTCAACTAAAATTTTGAAAATCTGTTAGAACAAGAAAATCCTAAGTTAATTAAATAAATATGTTTGATTTTAGTTGGGTCTAATCTGGGTAGAATTTTACTTCTTAGTTTGACAATTTTTATTTACAATATCAAACTGAATCAAAATGCGAAAATAAAACCAGTTTACACCTTCAGTTTTTTCCTTCATGTAAAGACTGAGACAGATATTATCTGTGATATTGGATGGTGGTTGGACTGTATTAAACGTTAACTGAATCTAGAAATCTTAACTAATGGATTCCAACTTAATGGTCTAAAAGTATAATACTAGGTACAAAATATTAAGGTCATTTGTGTGTACATTATTGAAGAGTTCCAAACTAGAGTGATCTCTTTTTTTTTTCAGGTGTTTCTCTAATTGACATCATTCTGTCATGAAAAGTAACTTCGGATTGAGGAATTTACCTAAACATAACCTCTACATTGAAAAACTGACCATGATTTTTCAAAAAAAAACATATTATTCAAATACAACAACAAAGGATTACAGATATTATTAAGGAATATTTGATCACTATTGATATTAAACTCACTTTTAACCAGTTTTAAATGATTCAAATGGTAATAAATGGGATAAACGTCATCCAATATACTGTTTATCTCCTAACAACTAATATGACAGAAATAAGAGCCTTAGTTATTGATTTCCCATTATATGAGAGCTCAAGGTCGGCTAACGATATTGTCTGTCTACGGTTGTTCTGTCTTCATTACATTAAAATACTTTATAACCAATCTAATATTAAAGAAAGTGTGACAGTTTTTACATTTATTTTGTTTACATTTTATTGAGAGACTCAATTATTGGTTATCATTTGATTGCCATATAAAATGTATAATATCTAAATGAAATAAATAATTTAACTACATTATTGTTAGAGGGTAGTCATTTTGTATATAACTGACGATTTTAAACTTGATCCAATTATAATCTTATTAGGATATTTAACTATGGAGACTTTATATACAATGATAATAATGAAATTTCAATTGTGGTTTATTGATATTTGAATACCAGTTTGTATGAAAGAAAATAAAAAAACATGATTACATTTGATAATTTGATAATAATGAATAAAAGGTTCTAGAACTATGGTTTTATACTTTTCTGTACTACAAATGGTTGTGAACGGAATAATATAAGTTCGCTTGGTATTGTTTACTTGAATATTCCCATTGATGTTTAGGAATGCAATTGATCAATCGCTTATTAGCATATGGGCTTCGATATTGCCTTAATTTAGAAGCATTATAAACAAAGATGGATAGTGGCTAGCAGTGGAAGCGAACGGTACTGGGTTCGAGTTCCAGAAGGAACATCAATCACAGGATGCAGGCACATCCAGCTGTCGAGTCCCGAACAGGACGAAACTCGTCAGACTGAATTCTACTGCTAGCCACTATTCATCATTGCTTATAATGGAATAACATAAGCTTTCGCCTAACGAGCCACCGGCTAGTAGAATTGTATCACTGATGGCCTCAGTTAGGGGCCTAGGTATATTAAACAAACAAAAGGAAAATATTAGTGAATCAGTATGAAATACTATCTTAAGTAATTTAAGATCCCACTCTCGAAACATTTAGTAAATTTATATTTTCATTACAATCCATCAGAATCAAGGCTGGATATATTAAAGTTACACGATATGAGTTTGAATCTGAGGGAATATCAGGTTATTTAAGGTTGTAAGTGAGCCTTATTGTAAGTGGCAATAAGATGAAAGCCTTAGTTCGGGGGTATTCGTTTCATTATTTCAATTAGTATGACCAAATACATCACAATAATGATTTCATAGTATTTAACATTGGGATATATATCACATTTTACATTTCATAGTTTTCATGACCATTTATTGCCAAAATGGACATCTTTACTTCCATTCAGGTTAAATACACTGGAACAGATCTAATCATTAGATTTTATGGCGATGGTTAGTTAATCCAAAATGGGTTTTAGATCTGTGTGATCATGAAATAGGGATGTCTCACTCTTATAGTTTAAGGTCATAATTTGCTGAGCTTGTTCAGTTTGTTGTTAGATTGCGAATCAGTTCATCTAATAAGTAAGTGTAGATGAGGTTACGATCATTTTCATTTATTAAATTGCCTTATAGAACCTAAAATTAACTTCCATCATTTAAAAAGTTATCAAACGTTATAAATGTTTTTTAGGCGATAACAGTAGGTCAGATGAACATCAAATAATCCCAGTAATCTTGCCAGTTAAGTTACTCGTAAACATGGCTGTTTTCATTAGTTATTATTCATATTTATCACGCCTTATGTATAAAGTATTAGTATAATGGTTAAATGTTATAGAGATCACAAACCGACCCAAGAAAGATGACCACAGAGAACCGGGAAGCAGTGGACAGCTATTTTGTTCTAGTATAGGGCTCTTAAACAAGGAGTATTCACAATCCAAGACCAGATCGAACAAAGAAAATTCAGGTCTCCCTGTGAGTGCTTAACATTTAAACCACTGAGCTGTCAACCAGTGGTTTACATGTCTAATGTCAATCACTCCACGATATCAGGGGCCTAGATGCCCAATATTAAACAGTCTTATGGTGGAACTAAACAGCAAGTATTATCTGATTAATGAAAAGAAAGTATTATCATTAAGTTACTATTAATAATAAGAAAATTATTACTTCCACACTTTCTATGTGTATTAAAATCATGGAAGTCCAATTTATATGTATTAGTTATTTGAATGTTCGAATTGATGTTTAGAACTGAAAATGATCAGTCCCTCCATGTGACGATTACCTCTTTATTACCACCAAGGCACAAACATTTTTAAACAGAGATGAATGGTGGCTAGCAATTGAATCCAGGACACGTATTTCGTACTGTTTAGGACTCATCGTCTAAATGGAAAACAACCCTGTAATGCAGGCACACCCAGCCGAAGAGTCTGAAATAAGACGGAACGCGTGTCCTGAATTCCACTGCTAGTAACCATCCGTCTCTACTTAAATGTGTGTGTAATTTTTAGGAGAATAGGTATTGATTCATTACAATCAAGAAATACGAGATGAACTGGAGTCATATTAATTGAACATGATCACTAGATAAACACCAGCATTTAAAAGCACCTTTTACTGTGATGATTTTACTTACTACTTGGATTGTAAGCTAATTACACTAGTTCATCGTGATTACTATTCATCCCCCAGTATTGGACCAACTCATCCCTAGCTATTACTCTACTTAAAGTTTACTATTTATAAGTAACATGTTCAGTTAAACTAAAATACTTTAAAGGTCAACAACAATTTGTAAAAAGAAAACGAAAATAAGACATTGGATGGAAGAAACTTTATACCATGGATTTAATTGCACATAACAAAAGAATTCTCGTTAACATATATAAAACGGAATAGTGATATTTGGTTCAATAACTGTAACGCAAAAATTACGAAAGAGAAGCACCATTTTTTGACTTTGCTTACTGGCATTTCAGTCCACAAAACTCCTTAAAAGAGAACCTACAAGATCGATAATAGGTAACTAGGCTGTTTGAATAAGGTAGAAGATTCAAAGAAATACAATACAGCGGTTGGAAATCAGGCAGTTTAGATGAATGTTATCAGAAGTAAATGTCTGTTGTTTTCGAATTTTGTCTTCGGAAAAAATTTCAAGTTTTCAAAAGTGAAAGGGAACGGAAAATCTTTATTCATACTAGAAACGTGGTTTGATATCTTGAAAATTCCCGATATAAGTTCATAAGTTCTTCAATTTCATCAACAACAAAATTAAAAACTTCATATATGAATATAAGTTACTTGTAAGTAGTTTCGATTGATTGACTAAATATTTTATCATTTCACAAACTGAATTTTTGTTTTCTCCAAACAATGCTTGAAATAGTTATGAACCATTTCATCGTAATTCACCAGTCTTTCATAAATAAAAATAATTTACATATGAAATTTTACTTTGTGTCATACAATTTGTATAAGGAATAAAAGATTCTAAATATTAATGAAGCTTTCAATGACAATCATTAAATAAATATTAAGCCTTACTAAGACGATCCTCACACATAGTGATTTATCTAGATAAGTAACTGAATGATGGGTCTCAAATAGGACGAAACGCACATCAAACTGGAGTTTACTGCTCGTAACTATCCATCTTTGCTAATAATGCTTGTTAATTAAGGTAATACAGAGACAGTATGTACATATGCTAGTAAGAGATTGATCAATTGCACTCCTAAATATCAATAGGTATATTCAAGTAAAACAATATCAAGTGAATTACACTTGATTAGTTTAATTTTACCTATCACTGCCTAAAATTTAGAATTTCATAACATCCATCTTGATGCAAATTATACATGATTATGATATTTCTATTTATCTCTGTGTTTTATGAAGAGATTTATGGAACTTCCTGTCCCTATTTGTCAAAAAGGTGATATTGAGACAGAGATTCATAAGTGACACTAAACAAAAATATCATGATTTGATCGAGATTTAAATTGTAAACCACAGGATATCACTTTACTGGTCAAAAATCACCGTATTCCCCCCGAAAAATAAGAATGTTTTGAATTCCAATTTGTATGGACTTATGAAGGTCAACCACTAAATAGGCATTAAATTAAGAAAAATCATCTGATTACTCTCTAATTTCCATCTATTATTCAGACAAGTAAATTTCTATGGAAATGTGCTGATAAATTTAATTATTAAAATAAGAAATTATGACTCAGTCAGTAAAAAACCCTATATATGGGACTGGACTTTAAAGGGGACATGACACGTCGACTCAAAAGATCTGTTGAAAGGACGTTAAACGCAGCCAAGCTACATATAATTTTCTCAACTAAACCAGTACTCGCATAACTAATCAATGATAGGTTACTGAAGATGGGCTCCTCCATGTTTGTATACCAATTCAACTGCTCTTGTGGAGCTAGTTACATATGTCGTATTCAGAGGGCGTGTTTGTGAACAAGTACCAGCATGGTTGGGAAAAAGAGTCACTAAATCGATCAACGGAACTATCCTTTCTCACTTGGTAAATAGTGAACATCATATCAAAATAGAGAAAGCTTTCTCTGTTTTGTATCATGTTTCATAATATCTACCTCAAGGAGCTAGATTACGTTAACTCTACATAGCCGAAGCCATCCGGATCAACTCCAGAAAACGAAACTTATGTTTCCAGAAAAGGTATATCCAGCCTTCCTCGTTTTTCCGTTTCCCTTCAAGATTCCAAGTCAGGGCTTGCCTCGTGATGCAGTATGATGATTTGCGTAACGTATTTCCTACCCATTTCCATCGTCTTTTTCTAATTTCCTCTTCAGCTGAAAGATGGTTTGTCTTCTCCCACAGTAGGCTGTTACTGATGGTATCCGGCTAATGGATGTTAAGTATCTTGCGTAGACAACTATGTATAAATACTTATTCCTTCTTAATAATGGTTGTATTAGTTCTCCAAGTTTCAGCTTCGTATACTGAAATGCTCTTAACGTTCATATTGAAGATTCTGACTTTGATATTGGTTGACAGTTGTTTTATGTTCCATTTTCATTTTCGCTATATTACTATTCTACTAATTGTGACTGGACATTTCACTCCGAATCATCCTGATCTTTATTAAATGATCTTTCTAATTTGCAGACAACACTATTTTGAAGTATATATGTCGTAACAGATGCAAACATTCACTACTTTTAACAGATGACATT